TAATTACCTTAAAAGTAGCGAAACCAACCAAATATTGCTAAATCTAGAGATATTGACTTTATTGCTGGACTGAAGTCCCTCATTACGCCTACAGTTGAACAGAAACGAAATGACTAAACTTGAAGTAATAATGAATCTCAAAGAGACGGATGGACAATGAACAGGCAGATGATTTAGAGGTTAGAAACCTGATTGATGATACTAACGAAGAGCCAATTTAAGCCAAGAGTACGAATGCCCTTGTCTCTGAGGCCCAAAGTCACTGTGATTTGCGGCTTCATGATCGATAAGGCCCACTGTCACTCAGGTGTGTTGTTCTGGGGCACATCACCTGAGCTACAAATGGATCAGAAGTTTCACTCAACGTTCAATACTGGTTTAAGATGTCTAACTAACCGTTGAAAAGATGAATGTGAGTCAAGAGTCCAAGTAATTATCAAATATTTATCTCGGCCACTGCCCAGTTCCTGACATTTCAGGGTTTGAGACCCCTATTGCCTATGTCCTAGGTGCTGAAGGATTGTATCAAAACCATACAATAGCATATATAAAGCCCCATCGATAGCCACAAACCGCATCTTGAAAATTGCAACGTGAAAATTTGCAACAAAAAGACAAAACGAATTACCAAATTTGTATTGGTGAAGCCAAAATTACCGATTTTTGCTAATATCTCTACAAATAAGCATTTTAGAGCATACAATGATTCATAAGTCTTATATAAATGTGCTCATTGCGAATACTTTCCAATATCGGAGAAGTTTCTACGACCTTTCTAGCTCCAGATGTAAAAATAATCCGGTAATTCCAGCTGCGATGAGCCAAAAAACAGTTTTTCGTGAATATCTTTAAAACTAGGCACCTGAGACCTTATATTGCTTCATAACTTGTATATAAATAAGGGTATTGCGGTTATTTTAAGCCAATATTCAAGTCTCTAAGTCTTTTAGAAGCCGAGATACAAAAATCCCAAATTTGCGCCTGAGGGCAATTTAGAAATTTCGCCCTGTAGGACTGGGACTACCGATACAAAATGGGTACCTAGATGATTTTGGTTTGGAATGACCTAATGAAAGACCCTGCGTGGTCAAAAATTGTGTACATTGAAGTGCACACTCAACTCCTCTCTGCTACTAGAGTAATAGGGATAATTAATGACATCAAAATTATAATCGTTCCTCTTGTCGTAAAGTTTTTAAAAAAATTTTCCCTTATAAATATTGATAGTGATAGTAAGACTAATATCTAAAAAGTCAGTTTCACGAACTGAAGTATTATTTTTATTCATAATCATCTCTGGAGGATATATTTCACTTAAAACTCGTTCTAATAGACCAAAATCATATATAAGACCATACCATGAAGATTATACTTTTCCGAGCCACCGTTGAGCCTATATTGTTCTAAATCTATGGCTGAGACCCATTGGATATCGGTTAGTTGCTGTTTGATAACTATAAGCGTATCAATGGTTGTTACAGTAAGCCCTCAACAGTTGAATACCATCCCCAAGCCAACAGTGATGATTAGTCGAAGCATAATGAAACTAGCCAAGTATTTAGCGAGACACAATGATGAACTGGCCGATCAAGCACTTTTTGGGATTCCCTGTTCCCAGCATAAAATAACAACACCTGTTTCCAAACAGTTAAAGTTAAAGATTATAAACTTACCGTTGCCTAATTCTGAGAACATGGAACGCACACGTGCCAATATGATTTTACGCGCGAATTACCCAGAATTAACTGAAACTGAATGTTGAAAGAGAATCTTATCAGTTATCGCGTCGCGCGGGGAATAATTTTGGTCACGTACATCATTTTGTGTTCCCTTTTAAATACAATTACCAGTGCAGAGAGTGGTTTCAGAAACGCAAATTCAACTTGCAAAGATTAATTTACCTGGGTACGGTACCTCGCTCAGGCTTTTGCATTTATTAAGTTAAACACATTGATTTAACATTGAACATATAAAAATATGTCTATAGGCATAGCAGATAGGGCGGAATGACAGGTTCAGCAACGCCCAGGAATTACAAGCAGCAAATTCTGCTACTGCTAGTGTTATCACGGAGAATCAAATTAAATATTATAGTGGTACCGTGGCATGTCCTGTGTCCATTCTTGGTCAGCGTTGTATAGGTTGCATGGATTAGGATAAGTCCCTGCTTGCTGTTGGCGTTGCTGCGGTGAGGCTAGCTGGAACAATTGTCGGAGAACTCTTTGGCTTCGTTCTCTCTTCACTTCTTTCTCCGCACAAAACTGTTTAATCCGTGGGAGGCCCTGTTTTAACGTTCCTTATGTTCCAAACGTTAAAATCTTTTAGCGAACGCGTTCACAAACTATTTTTAGTGAACGTTCCGTACGAATTCACTACAAGTACAACTAAGCTATAAGGGCAAAATCATCGATTAGAGGCTTTTATCTTAAAGAGTGAACCGGGACGTGAAACAGATCCTATTGCACGGTGGAGAACCAAACTAGCAACTTTTCTATTATGAAATCGTTCAGTAGGTGAAATTTATTGTTATTAATTTTTACCTGTCAGATACGTAATATAACAAAGTAATCTCTCCGTTAGGCGTTCGGGTAGGAGAAATAAGCAAGCTGATAAGAGACAATAAAATTACAAACGTATGCAATTAGTGTGTGGCGTGAGGTATATTTACTTTAATTTTTAGTGCCGACTTTAGCTTCAATGATATCACCGCGCACCGTTAACATACTCATAGTCTGGACAGCACCCTTCTAAATCCGAAAAGTTTCATACTTGTAGTGAAAATATTTGGTAGAATTCGGGTCAGGACAAGCTATTAAATTTTTTGCTGCGCTCCGGTCTATCACAGCAGTTTTCCTAATACCGTAGAGAAGTTTTTTTTATTAACAAATAAAACTCGATTACTAGACTCCTAGCCTGATACGAACTAAATTAAAAATTGCTCATAATGAACTTATCATCTTATCATAAATAAAAATAAATGCTGTAAGCTGTGAGCTTTTGCTGGTCCCATGAATATAATTCAATGGATATGATATAATATAAATATTCATATACTTGCACATTTACGAGTCTTCTGAATCTATTATATTACATAATACACGACTTCTCATTTCATAATTCATATCAAACATTTATATACTCATGCAGCGAGAACAAAATATTTAGTGTCGAAACTAACACAAGCAGTCATATTGCCGTGTTGTAAAACGGCCGACCGTTTACTACAAGTTAAGTCAAGTCAAATCAAATCAAAACATAGTTTTAAAAAACGTATACGCTATCTGCAACATTTGACATCTAGCACAACGTGCACAGTCTGGTTTAGTCAACAATGTTACCTGGGAACCTCAGGCTATCATGTTCATTAATGAATAGAGATTCGGCGGAATGACAGGCTGAGCGCTGCCCAGTAATCAACAATGCAGCTCTAAACGCTGCGGACTTGCTATTATAAAAATTGATGAGCGCTCGATTTGAAATCCCGACGCGCATAAAAACTGCCACTAACTGCTACTAACTGCCACAAACTGCCACTAACTGCCACTAACTGCTACTGTCGCGCGCAAATGCGTGGGCGCGATTGTAGCAGTTAGTGGCAGTTAGTGGCAGTTAGTGGCAGTTTGTAGCAGTTAGTGGCAGTTTGTGGCAGTTTGTGGCAGTTAGTGGCAGTTTGTGGCAGTTAGTGGCAGTTTGTAGCAGTTAGTGACAGTTTCTTTGCACTTAGCTCTTCCTGTGTATAGTTCATGCTTAGCTTTAATGCTAAACACTTTTTATTTTGGAAGACATAATCAGCATCAGTGAAAATAATACTGCCAGTAGTTTAAGGAAATTGAAATGGTCAAATGTTGTCATAGGTTTTATTTATCAAAATTTTCTGTAGGGACACAAAAATAGGTTTTGTGAAGTTAAATAAATTGTATTTATTCACGATGTCAATCCTTTGCAGCTCAGCGTGGTTCAGTGGTGCATTTCGCCGATCCAACAATGTAATTGCAAGAGATATTATTTGATGCGCGCCGCGGGCCAGTATGCCAGTATTTAGTGCAACGCACGTCCAGCGTCGTTGTCATACGTTGTATGACCCAAGCCGCGCACGAGTGCGCGGCTCCCCTGTTTCGTAGAAACTCTACCATAGTGAAACGACCGTGTGGGTCACGACGTGATACAACACACAGGAGGACTATAGTGCAAAGAAACTGCTGCTCACTGCTGCTCACTGTTGCTCACTGCTGCTCACTGCTACTAACTGCTGCTCAATGCTGCTGTCGCGCGCGCGCCCATAGCAGCAGTGAGCAGCAGTGAGCAGCAGTTTCCTTGCACTATAGTCCTCTTGTGAACAGCGTCGCACGTTGTAGCGCGATGCACTACTGGGTCGCGCGCGCATCAAATAATGCTTCTCGGTAGATCGGCAAAATGCACCACTGTGCCTCACCGAGCTGCGAAGGATTGACATCGTGAATCAATATGAATGTAAAACTAGAACTATAAAAAATAATGAACGATTTTCGAATTAAATTTAATCAAATAAATATTAAATCAATACGAATGCGTGAAATTTTCAACAAATTTGAAATTATTATTTTAACATTTAAATATCATCATCATTCATCACTCAAATTAATAATGTAAACATATGCATTTATCGATGAGCAATATCATCAAAAGACAAAAGTGTGTCACTAATAACAAATAAGTTATTTGTATCACGTTGCGACCCCCACGGCCCCACGGTCGTTTCACTATGACGATACAGGGGGAGCCGCGCACTCGTGCGCGGCGGGTCATACAACGTATGACAATAAGTTACGTAATCATTCGTGTCATCCATTTTAAACATACAAAAAACGTAATTTTGAATATTTACATAAATATATTCTATTTGTTGTTCGGTCAGTGAACGACACTCAGCAGCTAGCCTGTCAGTACTAATGAGTAAGTCTGGGCCGGGTCCCCAGGTCAGGTATAAAATACTGCGCCTTCCATGTTGCATGTAGTGCCAGCTAATGGGCTGTTTCGTTAAGTGGCTGATCCTTTGTCTCTTTTCGAAGGGTAAACATCGTAGCAAAAGCCAGCAGGGATATCACGAAACCGATTGTAATGATCAGATGCGGATGTGTCGTAGAGAACATCTGAAATGACAGTCAATTAGCAGTTAATTAGCAGTAATTAGCAAAAACTAATTATATAACCTGAAACAAAATGTGTTTCTTCTAGCTGCATACGAAGTTTAAAGTTAACAGTTTACTTGACACTTTTAAACCATCAAAAATTAGCCATAAAGATAAAAAGCACATTTGCATTTATGAAGAATGAGGATCCATTGTAAAAGTTATCAACTGATAAACTATTAAAAAAAGTTTCCCGATCCGATAACACGACATTACCAATACCTGAACGGACAAGATCCCAAAAACAGCGCCCAACTTGCCGGCTGTGTTAATCAACCCCACAGCTACATTCCTGACTCTAGTGGGATATATCTCCGGGACGTAAACCCAGACAGCCAACAGCAACCCGTCTACGATACCACGTGACACAAACAGCTGGATCTCGGTGTTGACTGCGATCAAGGAATGATTATGGTCACAAGGCATATAGGTATTTAGTATTTCTCGCTATAAGATTAACAATAATTATAAGGCACCGAACCGTACCCGCGCCGCACCTCGACGATACCATGCAAGATTAAAGGATCGTAAAGAGTTAAAGACTAAAGAAATGCGGTCCATTAAAAAACGCGACGAATATAATTGTGGATATTTTAGCAACAAAATGAACTTTACCGGGAGAGATACAGAACATAAGAAGTAACAGGGAGACACTGCCAAATCCTCCAAACACTTTGAAAGCTACAAGTCTACCACGATAATCGCAAAATACGATAGCCAGCACCAGAACCGGTATCTGAAGAGAAAATTGTAATTTTTACAAAATATTAATTAAAATATTAATAAAAATATTAATTAAAATATTATTTATATTTATTAGACGATTATATTTTATAATAGATTACGATCTTATGGTGGGAACTGAGTTGCAAGTTTGTTTTGACACGTGACAGTGATCCTGGAATTTGATTGGTTATCCGGTTATATGTTTCGTCAGAAAATGAAGAATTACCTCAACAATACATGTGACAAGAAGGTCCAAATAATCACGAGTGTCCAAAACTTCACACAGTTTAGCCATGTGCAGTGAGTGTGAATTATTACCCCTGCGGGAGGGTTTGTATTAAAGTGACCATATAGATGGATCAAAAAAACTAAAATTTGAAATATCTTCGTTGAGAAACAAGTAAAATGCTACATATAATTCCTGATCAACATGCTCAATAAAAATGATGATTATGGCATAAAAAAGCGATAAGGTTAAATAAATTACCCAACACCACAGTAGTTGATAATATGGAGGTTGGTGTTGAGATATAGGAGACTGAAGTAAAGTGCTGTACAAGCAAACATGATGAACGCCATAGCTAGAGTCATTCTTCTGTAGTCCGGATGGAAGAGAACACTCATTACTCCTGGTCTCTCCTGTAGACAATAATTTGAGACAAAGAAACAGGTAAAAAAAACCTAACAAGACCGAAACAGGAAACGGTCAAAGTAACATAGGGACAAAATAACAGCCCGACGAAAACAGAACAACAGACAGACGAACGGACAGACGGACGGAAAGACAGACGGACGGATGAACCTTAGAGATGGAAACAGGTGTAACCGTCATCTGATCCTCCATAGTTGTTACTGTCGAAGGCAACTTCTTTTTACTTTTGTTTTGAACAGCGGCTTTTCTGAAGTATGTAAATGGGTAACAAGTTCAGTGTGAAATTCTTACATTTGTTCATTTTTGTTATCAAAGCTAAAGATCAGCAATAAACCGGCTAAAATAAGAATTGATTGGCGGTGATTTAGAATTGAGCGCTCCCACTAAATCGCTCGCCCAAATTTTAAGAAAATTCCTGTGAAAAGGCCCTGCAAGGGTATGAAAGTAATCTAATTCGGTGTATTTTTGGACGCTGATTCCATACCACCCTACATGACGTAGGGTAAAATGCTTCCCTAGGGAGTTATGGGCAAAAACTGTTTTGGTCACGTGACAGGCTAGTACAAAACGAATTTGATTGTTTAGGGTTCGGGTTAGGGTTAGAGTTGTAGTTAGGGTTATGGATAACTTCGAGGTTATGGTTAGGGTTAGGGTTGGGATTAAGGTTTATGTAAAACCGTTTTGTTCGGCTGAAAAACCACAAAAACCAAAGTCACGTGATAATTTTTGGGCGAGCGAATTAGTAAGAGCCGGAATTGAGCCCACTCACTGTATGATCTGTAAAGCGCGAGAGAAGTGTCCATTGGCTAATAACCATCTCGGAGACTCATCCAGCAGGACTGTCAGAATCAGAGAAGCTATTGTTACTACTGTCGTGATGAAACTCTGAAGTACGGATTGACTTACTAGAAAGTTCTTATTATGGGTACTAGCAGGAACCCGTGTAACCCTAAAGTGGTGTCAAGAAACAGCAATATTTATTTATTCATTAAGCGATTTTGACACAAGGGTTTGTCGAACTACAGCACGTGTCGAACTAGAGTGCGTGTCGAACTTGAGTACGTGTACCCAAACAGGAGACATATTCAAATAATGAATGGTTTGGTTTGTAACATACCATGTACTTATACCCATGTTGCTCTAACACAATCATGCTAACTATAGTCTCGAACATTCCACCCAAAGCCCAGAACAGCTTAACAGAGAACACTGATGCAGTCCGTTTCTTGATGGGCGATATCTCTGCAAGATAGGTCACCCCAATCGAGTACCTTGTAAGATGGATGTTACTTTTGTTACGTTCTCAGAGTTACCCTCCACCCTGCAACCCAGAACAGAACTCAGTAATGATTGCGAAGATATAAAGAAACTTACCTGCAACCGATGAACATTCCAGTGATTCCATAAGTCAAGAGAAATGCAACGTATCCATTAGCGGCAGGGACTATCAGTTCAAATACCACCAAAAATATACCACTGAAGGAGTTATCCTCAAGCAAATATGAAGCATGATGATTAAATCTTACAAATCATGTTTTAGAATTAACTATCATGACTATCATGTCAACTTGATATTTCTCCCAATTTATTTGTCGACTATCAAGAAAGAAGAAAGCACGTGATTGAATATATGGGTATTGGGTAATCACCTAAAGATAAGGGTTTTCCTTCTTCCAATTATATCAGACAGAAAACCACCTGAAGAGGAGCCGATCATGTAGAACAGCATGAAGACCACACTCATCATAGCCACCTCCATCGGATATAACTGCCATCTGCACACCAAGGAGGGGTGTATTATTGATAGGATAAATACCTGAGAATAGGGAAATCATGAATTCAGGTTCGTATGATTTATAGAGGAACCTGGATTCGTGCCAAACTCCAATTTCGCACATTAAGTTCATGCAATTAGAACCGCGAAATATCAATTTTCATATGCTTGGATAATGAATAGTAAGAAACTTTGAGTTAAATAATTAGGGGTAAAATTAAATTTTCCAGAAACTAGAGCTGAGAGCATGAATGAGAAATAGAAATAGAAAAAGTACCTGCGCAGCATCACAAGATATTATCAAACCAACTATCAGGATATGCCTGATCTGGTACCATCCAAAGCCAATATCCTCTAACATCTCATAGTTAGGCAACATTTCTTCCTTCTGGATAATAAGATTGTTTAAAAGTACAGCCATACTTTTAAGACCAGGAACCGACAAGGACAAAAGGAAATCGCGGCAAGTGCGGAATCGCGATTTTCCCCATTCTCCGCGACAAATCGCGCTTTTTGACGTTTGCCGCGACAAATCGCGATTTTTTCAGATCCTCGCGACGAATCGCGATTATTTCAGTTCTCTGCGACAAATTGCGCATTTTCCTTTACATCTGAGGACCAAATTTGCGCATTCTCCCTTAAATCTTCAGGCCAAATATCACGTTCTTTATAAGTGTATGGAACCAATCACATCCACAGCCTTCCGAATGTATGTACGGACTTCAGAAGTTCATAATGATCAGGGTAGCATGAAACATGAACAAATGTAGTTTCCAGAAAATCTTTGAAAAAATTTCGACTTAAAAAAGTTTCGGTCCGAGAAATTTTTGATACGTACCTCTGATGACAGAGCTCCCGCCTGCATTCCGAGATTGCATTACAAGGGGTAAGCCTCGAGTCAAAAATCGTATATCAAGAGGTAGGTACTACTAATACTAATTGGTACGAACTTCAGTAAATTAAACCGAAAAAAAAATATGTTGGGCTCATAATGATCAGGGTAGCATAAACTGTGGAAAACAATTAGTTTCCAGGAATCCACTTTCACAAGCATTTCTTAACCCACTCGTCTGCTGACGTAACATTGTTAGCCAAAAACGTCCCTAAAACTTGACCACTAGACATAAAGTTGGCCACTAGACATATAAAACTTAACCACCACACAAACTTGACCACTATGAGTATGACAGTAGACACCCCAATCAATGTATGGAAAACTGCAAACATATTCACATGACGATGACGTACCCCACTTAAGGAATTGTGCGAGAAGATGAACAAGGGTAAAGATGAGGAAATAAAATATGTAATGTTAGGCATAATAGGTTAGTTTTAGGAGTTAATTTGTTAAGTGACATTGAATCATGAGATTGTTAAGACAATCTATACTAATAATCCCAGAATGTCTGTGTGGTCTCGGCCGAAGGCACGGGTTATTATAATACTAGTCAATCCATATTACAACTTTATAACAAACGTTAGCGAACTCAATACTGAGAACAGCTCATGAGGCCGAGGGTAAAGGAAATATTTCTACGAACATACTCAGAACTGTCTGCTTTATACTTGCACGATGAGCCCTTGGTCCCAACAGAAAATAATCTTTAGAATGTGAACATCGAGTTCCGTTCTGGCGAGGTCTGGCGAGCTGGGAGGAACTTTCGAGATCGTCTGGAAGGTCTGATCTAAAAGCCAGCACTGCTCAGTATTTATAGCTAATCTTTAAACTAGACTAACGAGCTTTTCGCCGCGATTTCACCTAGTTTGGCATGTCGCGGTGCTGCGATTTTTGGCCTAAATAATCGCGATTTTCTTTTGTCCTTGGGAACCGACGGGTCTAGAGATTATCAATCTATTTTCCTGTTTGCCAGACCGGAACCGGGTGGAAATCAGAACTAAAGGAAACCGGAACCGGATTCCGCCGGATATCTGGTCGGTTCCTAAACTAGACTTAGCTTGAGAATTGTCCAAAATTCAGATCTATGGATATCCATATAAGATCTGAATTTTTGACAATAACAATAATAATCAATCTATAGATTAAGAATAAAACTGACAACTAGTGTACCTGGATTGTAGGATCTGTTTCCCCCCTTTTTGTATACTGTTTATTCTCCAGTTCATCATTTTTGGCAAAGGGTTCCGACTCGTTACAATTAGAATCCATTTCCCGCATTTACAATGATCTTATAAATTATCTCTTATCTTAGCAGTAGATCCTTTAAACTGTATCTGGTTCTTAAAAAATATGGGAATGTCAAAATATACTTAATCAATGTACAAAATACTATAATATTACAGTAAAAAAACATGATAAAAGCAATATCAAAAAATATTTGTAATAGTTATATGTTGCCGAAAAAGTGGCAACATACAAAAATTACCGCACCTACATGTTGCTTCTTATAGGCGACATATAAGTGCGGCAAAATTTTACAAATAGTTCGATCCCGCACTCATGTCTCAAATTGCTTCCTGACAAATTTGGCGAGTTAAGCGAATTTAGCGGCTTGAGTGCGGCCTTTTTGTGCAAAAATGTGGGGCAAATTTTGTTTAATCAGGCAGGATATAACACACTAGATAATTTAACTAGAATTTCATGATTAAAAGCATAAAGGAAAAGATAGAAAATACTCATTTTAATTCTCGCCCAGGCCATAAGAAAACATAAAACATATTCTCAGGCTAGTTACTAGTATTTAAAATTATTTAACTTATCTTAAATACTAATAACTAGTCTGAAAAGCTAAATATCTGTAATTTTGTCGTGAACCTTGGCTGAGTATTCCAAGAGTTAACTGATGCTATTTGACCAGTCAGGATATCGCAGACCCTGGTCATTAGTGAAGTTTGTCGGAAAGTTCCAGAAGCGGGAATGAAATTTGTTGACTAAACTTTAAAACTTGTACACGTGGGACTACGCCCAAATCCACAGAAAATCACTAAAATCACTGAAAATTGCTATTTTCATAATTTTTCTCAACTTTAGCGTTACTTACCCCTCTTCAAGAAGGAGAGGGGTACAAAATACGAGTGAGAATCTATGCTCATGACTCAATTCGATATTTTAAAAATATGTCAAATGTAGACCAATCAAAGTTTTCGTATAGACATTGCTTGATATATTATATAATATAATATATCGAGCAAAATCTTTAATCAATTTACTACACATTAATATTGTGATGCTGACTGCTGAGACATATTTAAGGCTAAAAATGGCATGAGAGCATATATATTAACGCTATAATATTTTAAGACGAATTTTCAATTTCACGCATATGTGTCTTCATCGGTCGAAAGATCGGTTTAATCAACACATTTAAGTATGTTGATTAAAAAGTCGGTCGAAAGAACAGTAGAATAATACTGTATTTGGTCAGTGAAAGTTGCAGATTCTCTCTGACGCTATCATAATTGAATTTTTGGAGTGCTTCTAGTTCTATATTGACCTGGGTACATGCAGTGAGAGCTAGAAATATGCTGCATCTTAAAGATTAAAACGACTTTTCAGTTGTAAATTGGGTATAACTATAGCCTCCCAGACCACAATCTGACTAAAATATTATCGAACCAGTAAGTACAGTATGCCATCTGCAAAGCAACAGCTCTCAAATATAAAGCACGGCGGAGCTATTAAGGCCAACGTATGCCCACTGACTTTTGGCCCAACCTGTATACTATGACGTGTACACGAACTCAAGTTCGACACGTACTGTAGTTCGACACGTACTAGGTTAACTGTAGTTCGACACGTATTAGGTTAACTGTAGTTCGACACGTATTAGGTTAACTGTAGTTCGACACGTACTAGGTTAACTGGAGTTCGACACGTATTAGGTTAACTGTAGTTCGACACGTATTAGGTTAACTGTAGTTCGACACGTATTAGGTTAACTGGAGTTCAACACGTACTAGGTTAACTGGAGTTCGACACGTATTAGGTTAACTGGAGTTCGACACGTACTAGGTTAACTGGAGTTCGACACGTATTAGGTTAACTGGAGTTCGACACGTATTAGGTTAACTGGAGTTCAACACGTACTAGGTTAACTGGAGTTCGACACGTATTAGGTTAACTGGAGTTCGACACGTACTAGGTTAACTGGAGTTCGACACGTATTAGGTTAACTGGAGTTCGACACGTATTAGGTTAACTGGAGTTCGACACGTACTAGGTTAACTGGAGTTCGACACGTATTAGGTTAACTGGAGTTCGACACGTATTAGGTTAACTGGAGTTCGACACGTATTAGGTTAACTGGAGTTCGACACGTATTAGGTTAACTGGAGTTCGACACGTATTAGGTTAACTGGAGTTCGACACGTATTAGGTTAACTGGAGTTCGACACGTATTAGGTTAACTGGAGTTCGACACGTACTAGGTTAACTGGAGTTCGACACGTACTAGGTTAACTGGAGTTCGACACGTATTAGGTTAACTGTAGTTCGACACGTATTAGGTTAACTGTAGTTCGACACGTATTAGGTTAACTGGAGTTCAACACGTACTAGGTTAACTGGAGTTCGACACGTATTAGGTTAACTGTAGTTCGACACGTATTAGGTTAACTGGAGTTCAACACGTACTAGGTTAACTGGAGTTCGACACGTATTAGGTTAACTAAAGTTCGACACGTACTAGGTTAACTGGAGTTCGACACGTATTAGGTTAACTGGAGTTCGACACGTATTAGGTTAACTGGAGTTCAACACGTACTAGGTTAACTGGAGTTCGACACGTATTAGGTTAACTGGAGTTCGACACGTACTAGGTTAACTGGAGTTCGACACGTATTAGGTTAACTGGAGTTCGACACGTACTAGGTTAACTGGAGTTCGACACGTATTAGGTTAACTGGAGTTCGACACGTATTAGGTTAACTGGAGTTCAACACGTACTAGGTTAACTGGAGTTCGACACGTATTAGGTTAACTGGAGTTCGACACGTACTAGGTTAACTGGAGTTCGACACGTATTAGGTTAACTGGAGTTCGACACGTATTAGGTTAACTGGAGTTCGACACGTATTAGGTTAACTGGAGTTCGACACGTATTAGGTTAACTGGAGTTCGACACGTATTAGGTTAACTGGAGTTCGACACGTATTAGGTTAACTGGAGTTCGACACGTATTAGGTTAACTGGAGTTCGACACGTACTAGGTTAACTGGAGTTCGACACGTACTAGGTTAACTGGAGTTCGACACGTATTAGGTTAACTGGAGTTCGACACGTACTAGGTTAACTGGAGTTCGACACGTATTAGGTTAACTGGAGTTCGACACGTATTAGGTTAACTGGAGTTCGACACGTACTAGGTTAACTGTAGTTCGACACGTATTAGGTTAACTGGAGTTCGACACGTACTAGGTTAACTGGAGTTCGACACGTATTAGGTTAACTGGAGTTCGACACGTATTAGGTTAACTGGAGTTCGACACGTACTAGGTTAACTGTAGTTCGACACGTACTAGGTTAACTGGAGTTCGACACGTATTAGGTTAACTGGAGTTCGACACGTACTAGGTTAACTGGAGTTCGACACGTATTAGGTTAACTGGAGTTCGACACGACATGGAACTCGATCGCTCAGTCTGAATCCACAGCGGCCAAATTCGCTCGATGCGACCAACACAGAGCAGAAGGAACGACCTCAACTGCACATGGAAATTTGGTTGATCACTTTGTAAAAGATTGGAGAACAGATTTAGCATCCCAAAAGAAAATGCAATTTTACTGCACTATCAAACAGGTATTCGGAGAGGAGCAGTATCTCAATCTAAAGAATAGTCAATGTCGCATGCACATAGCAAAAATCCGCTCCAGTAGCCATGACCTTCTTATTGAGAGAGGGAGATACA